GATTGAGTCATGCAACATAAAAATATATTGTGCTTGAATATGCGGTCAAGATTGAGGCAAGTAACATAAGCGTATACAGAATATTATCAAACTCTTTTCGGCAAATAGCATATTAAAAAAGAAGGAAAATTATTCATTAATTTTAGTATTAATGTATCAAATAAACAAAAAAGGTAAACAAAAATGGAAGGAATTACAAAAAGAGGGGCACCTGTCAGACAACCGTGTGACCACCCCAGACAGAGAAGACTGACTGAGAACGATCCTCTACGGTCACGATGATCACAAGGGGACCATCAGATTGTTAATCACGCTCTGATCACACGGTCATGATTCATCCACCAGGTGGGGATTCCTGTCTCCTTAGAAATCAAGGATACAGAGGTACGATTACTATAGAACAGATCCTGTCCAAGTAAGGTCGTGACCTCTCAGCCACCCTCAAGCTATATAAAGCGCTTTGTTGTTCTCTAAATTGTCAATGTGGGACTAGAAGTACCTAGTGTCTCTCTCTTTCAACTCGAGCAAGAAAAGATATTTACATTTAGATGAATAATCAAAACCCTCTTCCCATAACTTTATTAATGCGTACATTTATATAGCAAAGCCATCATTATTCTGGAAGTTTTCTATAGGTTAAATTATGATCGATTGTTTTGTGAAGTTTATATTTTTCAACTGCCCATTTAGCCTCTTGAAATCCATGGCCATACTCTTAAGAGGAATGCATATACACCACATACTTGTACGTTTCAATTAGGTTTCTCCGAAATTGATCCTGCTCTGTAGTCGCTGATGAGGTCTTGCGATCCTGGGCTTCCAACCATCCAACCATTTTCGACCTATCACTTGGCACATTCCTTCTTCCACTTTTAGTTCCAGTTTAATTCATTTGACTATGAATTAAACTATGAAGGAAAATTAATAAGGTAACAACCTTTTCTTATCCACATTCATTATTACCTTTGGCATAATGCAATTGAAAGACAGCTTGACTTTGATGAGGGTGTGCAGAGCTTAAACTTGGCTGAAGAAACATGCATGCAGCAGACATCCTGCTGGCTCTCTCTCTGCTCCCATCAAGAAATATATAAACTTCTGGAGCTAGGCAAGGTTTCTGTTCAAAATCACTGGTAGATTGTGCTGTTACAAATTGTGGACCTTTTGTTAACAGGATGACTTCAAGAATGGTGACACTTTTGGTGATGATGCTATGTTTTTGTTTAAGAAATTATGGCTGCAGCAAAGTCATGGCCATGTCTGCTCCAACAGAAGAGGACTTGGAATTAGAAAGAGAACTTCAGAGTCTTAACAAACCTCCTGTCAAAACCATTCAGTTACTATTCTTGATTATATACCACTTAATCTTGTATTTTATTGGAATTTTCTCAAAAGCAATTTTCACTTTACCCTTATGAAAATAGTTATCCAATCAAAAGTTTAAGTTTGATTTTTTTGAGTTGCATATACTCTTAATCGCTTAAGCTACAAGCATGTTGCGAGAGAGACTTGAAACTGAACTCTTGTTCTTTTTCTCTTTCGCCACATGATGTGCCTTAGTAATTTTTACCCTTTTCATTGATTTTCGCCAACGAAATTTAATTTTATGAAAAGTAAAAATAGTTGTATTTAGAACATGTATATTATGGTCCAGCTTCAGCACATCCTGAACATGTATATAAGGCGATTGAAAGTAACTTTAATGGAATACACTTCAAACTTTCTTGATATATTGGCTTCTGCGGCAGTGATAAATTATGTACAGGAGGCTCGCTGCAAAATATAATATTTTAAGCGTATCGCCGCGCGGCTAAAATTGATAAATATAATATCTTAACGGTCTAGCCGTGCGGCTAGACTTTAAAACATAATATTTTAACTGTCTTAACGGTATAGCGCGGCTATACCCAAAAAATTGAACATCTTAACAGTGGAGCCGCGCGGCTATACCCAAAAAATGAATATCTTAACGGTATAGCCGCACGGCTATACTCGGCAAATATAATATCTTAAAAGTATAGCCGCCTTGCTATACTCCAAAATATAATATTCTTCTAATAATAATGGTGAAGAGATCATCATTGTAAAGAAAACTTATGATTTTACTAATGGATTTTCCATTTTGAAAAAAAAGAAAAGGAAAGGAAGTTATAATTTAACGGTCTAGCCGTGCGGCTAGACTTTAAAACATAATATTTTAACTGTCCTAACGGTATAGCGCGGCTATACCCAAAAAATTGAACATCTTAACAGTGGAGCCGCGCGGCTATACCCAAAAAATGAATATCTTAACGGTATAGCCGCACGGCTATACTCGGCAAATATAATATCTTAAAAGTATAGCCGCCTTGCTATACTCCAAAATATAATATTCTTCTAATAATAATGGTGAAGAGATCATCATTGTAAAGAAAACTTATGATTTTACTAATGGATTTTCCATTTTGAAAAAAAAGAAAAGGAAAGGAAGTTATAATAATTAAGGTCAAAACTCTATCCTGCCCATATTAATTACCTTTGTAATCTTGTAAATTGGTTTTTAATAGAAGCAATAAAGCTCTCTTCAAAGTCAGAAGAAGGACTAGATATGTATCTAGTAAAGTTTTGTGGTGGTTATCAGTTGTGGGTTCTGCTAGTTAACATGACCTTAAGAATGGAAAAACTGCTGTCATCCTATGCTTTTGTTTAACAAATTATGGCTGCAGCACAGCCATGTCCACCACTAGAGAAGAAGACTTGGAACTGGAAACACAGAATTCGGAGTCTTAACAAACCTCCTGTCAAAACCGTTCAGGTATTCTTGGAATTAAAATAGTTATTTTCTAGTTTTTGTATGTGTTACATGTATTATACTATTGATGATTGATGTATCTTTTTTTTTTTTTTTTCTGTCACTGAAAAATTCTTGAGGAGCAATTAGATGCCTAACATGTTTGATTTTGGTTCTCTATTTTGTGTCAAAGCTTGAAGTAGGTCATATTATCGATTGCGTTGACATTTATAAGCAGCCTGCCTTCGATAACCCTTTACTCAAGAATCACAAAATCCAGGTACTTTACTAGTTAATCTATAGAATTATTAGAAGAAAAAAAAATTACATACATTTTGTTATTGTCTTACAAAATTCCGAAAATTTAAGATGAATTACAATTTTTTATGCAGCTGCGACCAACTTCATTTCCAGCTCAGATGAAAAACTCAGCTCCGGTGGCTGATCCGATATCCGAAACATGGTCTAAGAGGGAAGCATGCCCTGATGGAACAGTTCCCATACACAGAACAACAAAGGATGATTTAGTAAGGGCCAAAAATTTGTTGCAGATGTAACTGCAGCTCCATTTGCATCTTCCTAAACAACAGAACCCACACAACCATTAGAAGAATTACGATGTTTCAGCCTATGTAGTGGTTCGCTATACAAACATGATCAGGTTGCTAGCTCAAGGCCAACCAGGAGAAGAAAATTAGTTTACCAATATAATCTGCTTCATTTATTAGTATCCAAAATAAGTTACGGTGTGTTACCAGTTACCACAGCACATTACGTCACTGTCATATCGTATTTATTTGCATGTTAAGTGATTGTCTCATGAACTAGAACCAAGAAACCTCATGTCTGAGTTACTGAAAATAGATTCGGAGCATCAGGTCCGTTTCTCAATTAAGTAACAGAGCTTCTTGGTTGGTACTGTTGTGAAAATGGACAAACACTTTCACTCACTCCCCTAATGATCTTGTTGTTGATGGACTTTGTGACACACACAAGGATGGATGAATCACACACACACACACTTGAGAAACCAACCAAGCACAAAGTGACACAAGTATTTTAGAGGTTCAGCAATTGCCTACATCCTCTTGGTGATCCTCTTGAGAAATTCACTAATGAAAGAATAAGTTACAACTTTGGTTTACAAAGAAACCCCCTTAGAACTCTATTCTCTCCCAAGCTCTCTTTTCTCTCTCACCCCTTGCTCAACACTTTGATACACTTGTGAACACTCTCACAACTCTTGGTGTTTCCCCCCTTTGGTGTCTAGACTACTCAAGACTCAACTCAGCTCTCTCTTGAACTGATTGCCCTTTCTCTCTTCCTCCCTTGGTAAGTTAAACCACTCTTGGACACACTAGCTCCCAGCTACTTGTCCACTCCTTGAGAAGTAAAACCACACTTGCTGTCTTGCTTCCTCTTCCCTTTAATACACAAGCCTTTGGACTTAGGAGAAGGCTC